CAAACCTTCTCTTCCATTACATGTTGTGCAGTCAGACAAAAAGTTACATCAGCGTAAATTCTATAATCTATTTTTATTACACTCTGATTACTTTATTAACATACAGTGAATATATACTAAATCTTTTACTTCAGCTTAAGTAATTCGGAATTTTTGACGGAATTGTTGTCGGAACTAGGACTTAGAAGATAAGTCAAATTAAATATTTCGATAACCCAATAAATTCAAGTTCGAAATTTCAATATTTTATTTTCGGAGGGAGGGGAAATGTTTTTCAGTTTTGGTCCATTATACCTAAGTATATTTGCTTCGATTTTTTTTTTTTCCATAAAAGCGAAAATTTACGCATGGTATACATATAACGCATAGCTTCAAATTAAAATTTAATAATATACAGAGTGGTTATAATTAAAGTTCCACATTGAAACGGTCATAAAAGGAAAACTACTGGATCAAATGTTATCAAACTTGGAAATCGTGTAAAGGAGGTCATGGGAATTTATTTTCCGCGAAAAAAAGGAAGTTCGAAACCTCACCACCAGGGGGGAAATGGCGCTGTATGCAATATTGTTAAACGAAATATGGGTCGGAATCTAACTTAACCTTTTGTTAAACACGGGTTTAATATGTTGTATACCCTTAAGAAACTTTGAAGTAGGCAAATTACCATTTAAAGACGTTAAATTCGATAAATGTCGAGTGCGCCATCCCTGTAAGTGAGAATTTCGTCCGTGAAAACCACGAATTAGCGATTAGAAAATGTGAGATCGCAAATCACTCTCACAAGTGCGTACAATCTGGAAATCGTTTTCTTACAGATCGCTAATTTGTAATTTTTTAAGCCTGAATTCGGCACTAAAACATGAAGATACTGATTCAAAACGCTTTTAATCGATTTGGGCCAAAGAAATCTCTCATGTTATCTATCTAGTTCCATTGCATTCTCCTACTGCATTCGATTGCATAGCACAGTCATTTCACACCGTTTACTGTTGAATGACAGCTAGTTTTATAACTGAACCATTTTTTCTGAAGAGCAGTCGACAGCTGGACCACTGCGATTGCAGCTCACTTAGAGTCCAATATTAAAATGTTTCGTGATACATGAACTGCAGTAACGTGGCATTTTAGATACTACTACGATTTTTATGCAGGGCTGGGCACCACCTCAAGAGTGTCGCATAGTTACTTAGGCAACATTTCACGAATGAACGTCTTATAGGCCAACACTTCCCCTCTTCCCACCAGACCTCAACCTCTGTGACTTTTGTCTATGAGGTTATCTCAAAAGCACTGTTTATGGTGATAATCTAAACAATTTGGCAGAAATGAAAAATGTGATACACTGATAACATTCCTCCTGATATGCTATGTGTAACGTGTATACGAGCCAGTTTCCCTTAAAAAGTCCTCCACGAAGGCATCCCTCCCTTAAGGCAGATAGCCCTCGAGTGCTTTGCCGTAATCTAATAAACCAAACCAAAACCAAACCTGATATGCTAAGAGCTGCTGTTGAGAATGCAGTAACATGATTTAACTTGCTTTCGGAAAATGCTGGACGCTACATTGAACATGCTTTGTAACACGTTTCGGAAAATATTAAACACATTTTAAACAGATGTTTTCGTGTCTTATTTCATTTAACAATATTGTATACAGCGCCATTTTTCCCCTGATGGTGAGTTTTTGAACTCTTTTTTTTTTTCCTTTTTTTTTGCCGCCGAAAATAAATTCTCCATAACCTCCTTTACACGATTCCCAAGTTTGATAACATTTGGTCCGGTAGTTTTCCTTTTATGACCATTTCAAATTGGAACTTTAATTATAACCACCATGTAAATTAAACTTTAAAAGTTTGACAGTTTGGTTCAAGTCCCAGCTTTAAAAATATATATATAAATATAATCTTTTATATTAATCCTCTTAGAAAGAATGTTTTAAGAAGCTAATTTTTCTCTCGCGTTATAGATTGTATAAAAAAAACATGATCTTTAATATGATTTAGATTGTTTCAGCCGATATAAGAATCGGGTTACTCGGTGTGGTACAGAATAAACCCTGCTGGACTGTTTTATTTCTTTGTCATTTAGCAAAAATCTTTTAATTAAAATATTTATCCTTTGGACTTCGCTTTAAACTTTATTTATAGCTTAAAATGACTAGAAAATGAAAAGCTGTCTTCAGCTGAAACGCAATTCATATAATTGATATTTTAAAAAATTGACAAGAATGCAAAATGTATGGAAGTCTAGCAATCGAAAAATCTTAATTTTCTTGTGTGAGCACTGAAAATAACTGTAGAAGGAAAGAAGAAAATTAGGGAGAAAAGTAAGCAAAAATTTGCAGGGAAATTTGGCTGTCAGACATACCAAGATGTTTCAAAAAGTTGGACGCTTTCGAATATACTTTCAGGATACTTCAAAGAATTTAGGTGTTCAAAGAGAAAACACTTGGACGTGTACACCAGCAAATACCATCAATTGAGCTTGTGTTAACAGAAAAGACAAAAACGATATCATTGCAGATTAAAGTGAAGAGCGACTGGTTTTAGACTATATGGTTGTGTAAATTACGTTATAGAACATCATATCGTATCATAAATGGAGAATCCCATGATTTTCTCAGTCGAATTATTTGAAGATTCAGGAGTTTATCCAGTGATGTATGTGGATGTCACCTAAAGATGTTTTTTTTTCCCTTCCTGATGAAACAGCGGCCGAGCGGTAAAGTCGCTGAACACTGGTAGTTCGGTCCGAGGTTCGAATCCCGCGAACGGGCTGGCTGCATGGGCGTTTTCGTGGTTTTCCCCATGTGTAACGTGTATGCGAGCCAGTTTCCCTTAGAAAGTCCTCCACGAAGGCATCCCTCCCCTTAGGCAGATAGCCGTAGTGTGCTTTGTCATAATAAAATAAACCAAAACCTTTTGATGAAACCAGTCTTTCCTTTCATCTCATACCTTCAAAATGTTTAGCCTCTAAAGACTGATAAAGGCTCTGACGAAATACTTCGTGAAGAACTTTCTAAGGGAAACCAGCTGTCATACGCGGTACACATGAGAAAATCCACGAAAACGCCCATGCAACCAGCCCGTTTACCGGGGTTCGAACCCCGGAGTGAACTACCAGTGTTCAGCGACTTTACCGCTCGGCCGTTTGTGGGCCTTTATGAAATGGAAGGCGATAACTTTATTTAAAATGATTGTCAGAAATACCAAAATGTTTCGAAAAGTTGGATACTTTTTAATATACTTTCAGAATGCTTAAAGAAAAAGAGAAGAAAAATAAATTTTTTCGTAAAATTTAGTATTTGTATTTTTTTTTAAATTTAAAACTTTTCAATCTTATGATATTTGATTCTTGCGATTTCAAAAATAAAATATTTGACTAAAATATATGAATAACATTTTAAGAAACCAAATGTAGGATAAAATTGTGTAAAGCAATGGGCACAATGATAAAACTGTTTAAAGCAGTGTATGCAAGTCATCCTAAGTTAAAATGTCGGTTATACATCTCTCTTATTTATATATATTTTTTCTGAACGGAACATTGAAAGGCGTGTAAAACTGTGCTTTACTGTATTTTCTCTTTTAATATAGTATGCAGTTTTCAAACGCATCGTAGTCTGGGTTACAAAGTATTCTTCCGAAAGAAACGCAGTTCAAATAAATAAAATCAAATTCTGGAAAATTGATATTAATAAATATATTTAAAATGCTCAGTTCGAAGGAATAAATAGAAAATTTTAAAACAATTATCTGAAGAGACAATGCAACACAAACAATTAAAATAAAAGTATAAAAATTTAAAAATTACCTAAAATAATAACTATGACAAAAAATATATATAAAGAAAACTATTTGAAAAAAAAATAAATAAACGCTGCACCTTTATTTACGCAGTTCGAATAGGTAAATAGAAATTTTTAAAACAGTTATTCGAAAAAAAAAAAAAAAAAAAAAGTGCAACTTAAACAATTAAAATGAAATTCGAAAAAGAAAAAATTACTTAAAATAATAAGTTATAATTAAAAATATAATATAAAGAATATTATTTGGAAAAAAGGAACGATGGTGACTTTTTTTCCTCTCACGGGAAAGGAAACTAGGTTGCCATATATTAAGAAGTTCGCCAAGTGAAGTATTCTTGGCGCAAACTGACAAAAAAGTGCCAACATAAATTTGTGAATTTCTCCGTAAATTTCGCTCCAAATTTTACAAAATTTCATATTTAGGCGTAATTTGAGTCGTAGAATCGAAATATGTAAAAAAATTGGTATGTTATTTCAGAAAAAGTCCGATTTTGTGTCAAAATACCTATGTTAGAATAGTGCTATATATAAATCTAATATATATCCTAAGTCGCGCTTTCGAGACATGAAGAACGCAATTTGAATTTTGTCAATCGGCCCAGTAGATCGGGAGATATAGGACTGTCCCATTTTTTTTTTTTTGAGCAGTGTACATTTTTAGTTATAGTTGGTATCCGATGGCAAATAAATGGCTTCTAATTTCACAAATTTCTGCATTAAGACTTCAGTAAACGGTCACTCGCTAGGTTCCTCATCGTGAACACTAGTATGGTCATCTTTAAATGCTCTAATCCATTTTCTTACCATTTCAGCACTCATCGTATTTTCTCCATACTATCTACTATAATCTGTCAATGAATTTTGGCCGCTTTCATGTTTTAATTCAGAAAACGAATTACAGCATGTATTTCACAATGAAAAAATTTCCAATTGCATGCAGCATTTCAAATAAGCACAAAGAAAAGTAAACATGAACAAATGCTTCCATACTGCCATCTGCCACAAACCAACAGATGTGTATATATACTCAATGTGCATATACGAAATGGTGACAACAAATGATACAAAAACACACACTTCATTATATTGGAAATATACAATGAGAACTTTAACCCCATTAAAAAGTTTTTAAAAATTATAATGCAAAGTTTATTTACTAAAAAATGCATTTTAAAAAAAAGTATTTTCACCTTGTCAGCTGACAGAGGATCCTTGGTCAAAACTGATGCATACAGCTGCAAAAGGGAAAAGGAAGAAATAAATGATTCTTTTAAACAAATGTTAAAAATTTATACACCCTGGCATTTAAAATAATAAAATATTTTATAAACTATTTATAAAAAGAATTGTTTGCTGATTTACAGCTTGAATATATGCAATTCATCGAACTGAGATATTTATTACTTTTCCTCTAATATTTATACACTTCTAAAAAGGTATTATTAGTGACAAGGCAAAAGGCGCCACAAACCTCGCAAACTGATAACTTGTTAGATACAGAAGACTAAGTATTAAAGTGCTTATACAGTCATGCAACAGTATTTAAATTGTGTGCAACAAACAGAATTACATACAATGATACCAAATCTAAGATTACAGATAGTATAAAATAAAACAATTTTTAGGTCAATAAATTGAAAGAAATGAAAGAGCCAAAGTCGCACATAACCACAACAATACTAATCTTCCACATGATAGTGTGACATAATCCACATGTACGATGGAAGTTCATCAGCAGGATAATTACTTATCAAGGATAATAGGCAAAATGAATAGAATATAGAAGAGATGAAGACTGAAAAAAACAAGTATAAGTATACATATATGATAACAATAATGTAAAGCAAGGATGTCAAACTCGCGGCCCACAACAAATATTTTTGCGGCCCGGCCAATATATCGGCAAATAATAATATATAATAATAAAATAACATATCGACGAAGAAAAAAATGAAATGTTTACTGCTAAGTAATTAACGATAATTTATTTAGTGTTGTTAGATTACTCACAGCAGGCTGACACACACACTACTTAAATTACAAATGCGTGTGAGTAGCTCGCGTTCAGCTACCTTCGGCTTTTGGGGGACACGTGCACTCAGAACTTGTACGCATCCCCCGATAGCCGAATGTGGCCGAACTCATGGTCTCAGTTTTCCAATCATAGTTTTGTACGATGTATTGGTGCATGCACTTTGCTTTATTATTAATTATTACTTAATTCATATTGTTACGGATTTCATAGTTATTTATTTATTTAGTTTTTTTTTATATTTAGAATTGTAATTAGATTTGCTTCGTGTTGCCTTAGCAATGCAGACGATTTTTGAAAAGACAGCTGCGTTGGAAGGTTAAAAATAGAACAGCGTGTGCATTTAATACCTAATAAATAAATATCTTGTAATTGCTGTTGCCATCCACAAAAATCTAGATATTTTATATAGCGAACTGTTTGTTTACTTAATGCTGTGATTGATTTGTAGCGATTTCGCTGTGAGATAGAATTAGTTTCTCTGTTTTGAATTGATTTTTGCTAACCGTTTGACATTTTGTGATATTGTTAGAATATTTTTGAAGAAATATTTCAGCATTGTGATTTATCTCTTGTGGAAAGAATAAATTTTTGTTAACTTTTTAATGTTAACCGTTTATTCCAGCCCTTTGTATTCAGTAAGTCTATATCAAAACCAAGTGGTAGTAAAATTAAACGAAAAATCGCTGACGAACATAGCATATTCCAAGTAAAATGGGAATTAGAATATTTTTGCTGTGAAATAAAAGATAAAATAATCTGCTTGATATGTAATAATACTATTAATGTACCAAAGTTATATAATATTAAACGTCATTACGAACAACACAAATCGAAATATAACAATTACGAAGGATTAATGAGAGAAGAAAAGTTGAAAGAGCTCAAATTAGGAAAGAAAAACCACAGTCCATGTTTAGTAAAGTATTGCAAGAAAGTGAAGCGGTGGTACATGCAAGCTACGTCTTGTCCGAGTTGATAGCTAAACATTCGAAGCGTTTTACTGATGGTGATTTCATCAAGGAATGCCTAATGAAAGCTGGAGAAATTGTTTGTCCTGGAAATGTGAAGGCTTTTCAATCAATTTCATTGTCTCGAAATACAGTTGCGGAAAGAGTTACTGATTTATCCGCAAATTTAAGTGATCAGATCAAATCAAAATGATCTAGTTTCGAAAGTTTCTCCATTTCCTGTGACAAGAGCACAGACATTAGTGGCAAAGCTCAATTAGCAGTGTTTCTTTGTTCTTGTGACAAGAATTTTAACATTTTTGAGGAATTACTGGAACTAATACCAATGCCTGGTACTACCACAGGAGAAGATATATTTACTTGTGTTTTTGGACTTCTGCAGAAATACAATCTACCTTTGGCAAAACTAAATTCTGTAGCTACAGATGGTGATCCATAAATGACCGGGAAAAACAAGGGCTTCGTAGCATTACTAAGAAAAAAAACTTAGTGAAATTCACGGTTCAAACATTCATCATATGCATTGTATTATACATCAAGAAGCTGTACGCACGAAAGTAATAAATATGGAGAATGTTTTGTCATATATAAAAAAAGTTATAAATTTGATAAGATCTCGAGGTTTAAATCAGCGTCAATTCACTGCTTTCTTAACTGAGTTAGATAGTGAATATTCGGGTTTATCCTACTATACCGAGGTACGTTGGTTATCTTGCTCCAAGATTCTCAAACAATTCTGGGATTTGAAAGAAGAAATATGTCAGTTTTTAAAAACGAAAAATCAAGACGTAAGTTTGTTTTACGATCCAATATGGATACAAGATTTATCTTTCTTGGTTGATATAACCAAACACTTAACCGATTTAAATTTATCGTTACAAGGAAAAGATCATATCATTACGAACATGTTTGATATAATTAAAGCATTCAAATGCCAACTAGTTCTTTGGGAAAAACAACTTAAAAATGAAGATTTGACGCACTTCCCGATGTGCAGCATGAGCAAATCAAGTTTAGATGATACTTGTTCATATCAAAAATATGCAGAAAAAATTGCAAATTTAACAACTGAATTTGAAACGAGGTTTAATGATTTTAGTTTCCTCCTCGAAGACAATTTTTTTTGTTTTCTTCTTTTTTCGATTTTTCTCAATAAGTATTGACTCAGTACCCAGCCATATGCAAATGGAGGTGATCGAGATTCAATGCAACTCAAATTTGAAAGCAAAATTCATTGAAGTGGCCGTGCGTGGATTTTACAAATATTTACCAGCCAGGTTTGAAAATACTCAAATTCGCATATGAAATTATTTCCATGTTTGGTAGCACTTATCGGTGCGAGCAGTTATTTTCAGTCATGAAAGGTAATAAGTCTCCTATTAGAAACCGTATTAATGATGCTCACCTTGGGTCAGCGTTGAAAGTTATCACTGCAAACAAAATTTCTCCCGAAATAGGAAAGATAATAGCAGAGAAGAGATGTCAAGTATCAGGACGTAAACATTAAATTTTTCTTGTTCTTTTCTATATAAATATATATATATATATGTTTATTATTGTATTATTCGAAATAAATCTACGTTTCTATGAATATTGATTTTTTTTTTTTTTTTTTTTTTTTTCGGCCCGCCTAAAGTTAAACCTTGTTTGTTTGGCCCAAGTGTACCTATGAGTTTGACATCCCTGATGTAAAGGATTCTGTGTGCATGGTGAGCACTATTCATATTAGATGGCAGTTATATAATACGCTGAGCTGTTTAAGATGAATTTGAGGCTATCCAAGAAAGTGACAATCCAAATCATGATCAGCACTGTTGAAAAGTCTGATATACAACAGTTGCAGCAAGACTGAAGTTATCTGTACCTTGTCTCTAGACTCTTACTCAGCAATTCTCCCTGGTAAATAGAAGATAGATTCATTCTTGGACACTATCAGTGCCATTCAGTTTCTCAAGAGGGTCAGTTGTGACACCATTGCACTGGTGACTTTACAGCAGCATTTGTAAAGAATGGCAAGACTGAAAACCGCTTTCAACCAAATATGCATCATTACTCCTGGAACAAATCACATTCCTTTCTTCAATCCATCTTATCGAAATCCTTTGCATAGTTGAATTACATATGATTCAGTTGTGATACAACAGAACAGACCAGTCATTCATAGGCCTAAAATACAATCCCTTGTGAAAAATGTTTGATTACTAAAACTGATTTTGGTGACACCTGCTAAGTATTTCTTATATTATACTTGTTCTCTGAGACAAGAAACAGCTAAAAAAAATCAGTTTCTCACAGTGACACAGAGTATCAACAGTGGAGTTACCTAATGTTTCCTTCTCTTTTGTCTGGCTAACTCTGTTTGGCTTCTCTTTTGTATGGCTTCTGTGTGAAACTTGAAGAATTTCAGATTATTTACATAAATCAACTGCACATTCATTGGAATTTAAATAATTATGCAGCAGTCACATTCACAATGCTGCATTTTCTCTAACAGATATAGCATTGAGTAACTTAATCTCAGTTTCTCAGACCACAGACCAAGGTGATTTCAGTCAAGTTTTGAACTGGTTATTCTTTTGTTAAATTTGAAAATGCTTTTAAAACTCACCATTACATTATGTTATTGTGTTTTAGCATAATAAAGCCAACATTTATAACACCCCCCCCCAAACAAAAAGTGATGAATTGTGCTATTGAAATATCCACACATTAAATTCCGGTGTTATTACTCTGGTAAAGCCTAGATTACATGATAAAAGGAATCAATATGCTATAAATAAAGATATAAATAGTAAGATGAAAACTCTCTGTGATTAGAAAATTTTTCCTGGACTAGAACTGATTAAGATGCTACAAAATGTATGCTATTCATCAACAGAATGTAAAACATTTGAAATTGAAATTAGTGAAAATCTACACAGTCTTAAGAAATGCTGATAAGCATTATCATGCAGCATCAAGACACTATAATATACATTCAATCACTCTCTTTATGAAACCTGCATATTTCATATTCACATGGCAATGTTTAGTAGCGAAACAACAACTGACAGACTGAATAACACTGATGCATTCATTATTCAAGCAGTTTTTGTGTAAATATTATGGTGCTAGACTACGTTTGATTCACATTTTATTCAGTTGTGATCATTCAAGAAGTTCTTGTGCAAATATTGTGGCTAACTTAGCATGACATCATTTGAATAGTTTATTACATTTTGGAGATTTTTTTCCCTTCTTATATGGCTCTAGATATTTCAATTACATTGATCCAACATATCTGAAATTATACAAAATGGTATTTTTAAAATACTCACAGTTAGAGCTCGTGCAGTTTGACCTAATTGTTTACAGGCACTGCTGGCAATAGCAATTGCTTCTCTGGTTCTATGCAATGCTAAATAACATTCAACCAACCCTAAAAAAGTAGATTTTTCAAATTAGTACATAGACTTCAAAGAAAAATTTCAATTAAGAAATGTCTTTACAGAATTAAGAACATACTTGCTGAACTAAATAATAACATTGTGTTGAAACTCTTAAACTGCATATAAAATACCCTCTATTATAGTCTCATAAAGAAAAGTTATATTTTTTGGCAATTCATTAAACTACCAACTGTATTAGCCTTTGGTGAAAATTTTTTACCATTTCAGCACTCATCGTGTTTTCTCCACACTATCTACTATAATCTGTCAATGAATTTTGGCCGCTTTCATGTTTTAATTCAGAAAACGAATTACAGCATGTATTTCCCAATAAAAAAAAATTCCAATTGCCTGAGACATTTCATTAAACTGCCAACTGTATTAGCCTTTGGTGAAAATTTTTTACCATTTCAGCACTCATCGTGTTTTCTCCACACTATCTACTATAATCTGTCAATGAATTTTGGCCGCTTTCATGTTTTAATTCAGAAAACGAATTACAGAATGTATTTCACAATAAAAAAAAAAAATTCCAATTGCCTGAGACATTTCAAAACATTTCATCTTGACAATCTTGGCAACAGCATGTTGGCACCTTGAACCTTTTTTTTTTTTTAAACATATGCACAAGCAAAAGAGCAGAGATACCTTAAATTTTTATCACATTCATAAATGATAAATTTTTGAGGAATTTGTATATAATCTAATTAATAAATAAGCATATATTAATTATGCATAATAATCTGTTAATTAAAACAAAGAATTTTACAACATTAATTAATAGCTATTACAATAAAATTTTCAACATTTCTTTTATATACTGTGAACAATAAATAAATACACAAAATGAAATTAAAATTATGAAATGAATTACAATATAGAGGTTCAAACCCCTCCCATCAACGGCAACATTGTTATCATTTGGATCATAATTTTGTTTCATTCCTTCATTTTTATTAATTCAAGTAAAGTACATTAGACCTAATTCCTGCAGCTTCCTTCCATTTTTGATTGAAGGTCTCTCAGCTCATAGAATCCAAGGGTTTACTCTCCTACCATCAAACTCTTGAGAGAAATACTGGCTTGACAGAAACCTTTTTAATTATCCCTTGATCAAATGTTTGATTAACTTTCAATTTGCAAAACGTGAAAATAAAAAAGAATTTTCTTGCATTTCAAATGAATAGTCTCATATATGCTAAGTAGACGACTTCTATTACCAAAAAAGAAGCTTTGCGTGCACATAAAATATAAACTAATTAAAAAAAAATACAGGATAGTTTTTTAAAGATAATTAACTCAAAGTACTTCCTATATATTATTACTTTATGTTATAACTTTCTATGTTAATTTATATTTAAATTGCCATTTGCCAAATAATTTAAATATGTAACAGATAATTTTTTTACCTTTATGAGCTTCATATCTGTATGGAGCAATTTTATAAACCTCACCAAAATTCGTAATTGCATCTTGAACTTTTTTTAATTCAAGCAACACAGTACCTTTTAGCAACAATGCTTCCACATGTCGAGGATTTAGAACACAAGCCTATAAATGTAGATTTTCAAATAAAATGGTTTATCATAAAACACAGTTCAAAATACAATACCAAATAAATTTATCAAAAATACTACAACTGTTCAAAATATAAAGTGAAAAAACAATTTTTTTTTTTTTTGGTGCTTTAAGAATAAAATTTACAAGTAACAGAATAACAATAGTAATAATAAAAAAGAATACTTTTTGGGGGTACTTTCTGAATATTTACACTCCTACTGAATAGTCGTGAAATTGATGGTCACTCTGGAGGGAAATGTTTGGTTATTTTTATGTCTATATCAATAATGTGTCCAGTGAAGAACAAATTTTTACACTTTTACTTTTTGATACATGACACGGATACTCTTGTTTTTTTACCTGTTGTTTTCCACACGTACGTGGCGAACCATTTCTCTAAAAAAAGAATATCAGAGAACTGCACAAACTCACCGCACATCTGCCATGATAATAATCACCCAAGAACAGTTGAAATTTCAATGTACATTCCAACATAATGAAAATAAAAAATCTGATGTGGATGCCCCGATCTACTTGTAGGACCTATTAAATTATATACATATTTTCTAGTACTTCATTAAAACTTATTTCCTCAAATTACTCTAACTTAATTAAATGATTCCCTTGAGGCAAGATGGAAATTACATAAAAAATTGCAAATTTTGAAATTAAATATATCAGTCAGTTTTGCAGTATGAAAGGCAAAATTCTTCAATTTTTATTTTTACATAACGAGTATGAAACTTTCCCAAATTTAAAACACTCTGTAATTGTAAGTATATGATTGTAAAAATAAAAGCCAGATAAAGACTACAAAGGAGAGGTGCACAACTAGATGTTACAGCAGTACCATATACAAAATTTCAATGTTCTATGGCTAATTGTTTTTCAGTTATGTGAGATACTTATGTACAGATGTCATGAAAAATCCATTTTACAATCTGCTTTGGAATAAAGAGTTCTTTGTTCAGTCCGTGCACACAGACTTCACACGAAAAAATAGTCAAAAATGGATATTTCTGCTGAAATCTGATAACTGAAATTTTTTGCCTTTACAATACTTCCTTTACTTCACACAAGGAAAACTAAAAAGAGCAAACTCCACAGTTACATTATTTGTTATAACTAGAACAGACGCACTCAATGCAAAAAGAAATACACTGGTGAGCAAAATTAATTTGAAGGTTGCTATTTATATTTCTGGCCATGTCAACAGTAAGTGTTGCTAAGTGACCACAGATGATTCCACTTGAAAGTTTGATATTTTTAAGCATAACTTCTTAACATTTTGATATTTCAGTGCAATTTGTGTTATTTACAGTAAATTGAAAAACTCATCTTGGGCAAAAAATGGAATTGACTTGTGAGCATTTTTGTGAGATTATTTTTTATAACTTTCAATGTTGATTATCAAGACAAGAGTGCTTCAATGAATTTATTTCTTTATACAGCGATAAAGCACCATCCTACAACACTGTAAAAAACTGGTATAACAAATTCAATCATTGTCGATGTTCACTCCAGGATGAATTTTGTGAAGGTTGTCCAAAATCGGTTGTTGCGCCAGAAAATATCAATGCTGTGCGGGAATTGATAAAGCAAGACCGTCATGTGACATACCATGAGATTTAGGCAACTTTGACTATTGGTATGCCAAGCATCACTAAGATATTATATGAACATTTGGCCGTAAAAAGGATTTGTTATGGTTGGATCCAGCATAATCCAACAAACTTTCAATAGAAGGCTTGTGTCGGTTGGCGCAAGGAAATGTTAGAAAAATATGTTCAAGGTGCATCAAAAGTTGTGTATATCATCTGCACAGGTGACGAATCATGGATCTATGCACATGAGTATGAAACAAAACAGTAGTCAACTGTATGCGTTACCCAAGATGAGCCAAATCCAACAAAAGTTGTTCGCGGAAGAAGGACATCGAAGCAAAAGGTTGCCTGCTTATTTGGTATCACTAGTCACATGGCGACAGTGGCATTAGAGCAACGCAGGATGGTTAATTCCGAATGGTACACAACCTTTGCTAGAAGCCATCGGAAAAATTAGAAAAAAGCAGAAGAGGTGAATCATTCTTCGTCATGACAATGCAAGCTCTCACACATTGGCTAAAACAAAGTTTTGATGGGCTGAAACACTGAATTGATGGGTGATGTACAGCGGTAATTTTTCACCCAATGACTTTTTTTATTCCCACACATCAAAAATAAATTACATGATCAGCGATTTGTGACACCCGAAGAAGCATTCAAAACACATGTTTTGGAGTTACCTCGATCGGAATGGAAAAAATGCTTTGTAAATTGGTTCAAATGCATGAAAAAGTGTATTGTTCTTCATGGAGAACATTTTGAAAAACAATAAAACCAATTTCGATCACAAATATTTGCTTTTTCATTGTTAGGCCAGAAATATAAAAAGTAATCCTTGTATTTTGAATTTCTGAAAGACTAATAAACAGATTTTAATTGAATTTGGTATGAACATATAATAGAGAAAGAATTGTACCATTCAAAAGTTATTTTAAGAGAGTATGATTAACATTAAAGTTCATAACGCAGGGACATCCAAAATCCATGCTGTGATATCACACTGAATATGGAGTATGGTCCCCTCTCACAGCCTGACAGATCATGCAGCATGATGGCACAATGGGCAGAAGGCCGCTGAGTATCCCTGTGCCACTTGATTCTACTCCAACAGAAGGTAATTCTCAACTTCAGAATGTTTCTTGGAGGGAGATGGCGAGATGAAATTGCCCTCCCAAGAGTGTCCCAGACATGATTTATAGGGTTAAGATTAGGAAATCTGACAGGCCGATCAAGACACCATATCTTCACTTTCCAGGTAATTGTCATAATAATCATAAGGTAATCGTCAATGTAATGCCTGCTCAAACCATTACACCTCCACCCCCATAATCATCCTTTTTTTTCCTGATGAAGGAGTCATAAATCATGTTCCAGGCTCTCTCCAGATACAGGTATATCAAGAATCAGTATTCAGGGTGAATCTCGACTCATCTGTAAAAAAGTACAGTGCTCCACTGAAATCTGGTCAAGGCACATGGTGTCTGCACCATGATAAACATACTCTTTTGAGGGCTGCAGTGAGCAAAATGAAAACAGCAGATACTCTGGCTACAGCCTTATCTCATGAAGCCTATGGGTAACTGTAAGCCGCTAAACTTGGGTTTTGGTGGCACCATACAGTTCATGTGAGATCTGTGAAGCTGTAACAGTCCTGTGTTGCTGTGCTGAAAACGCCAAATAGCAATCCTCATTCGCCATAGTGGATTTTGGTCGACCTTGTCCAGATCTTCTTGATATCAATCCAGTGTTCTGAAACTGTTTCCACAAACTGCAGATGATACTGGACATTACATACAGCTCTGTTGTCCCCTGTACTTGTGACTGGCTAGCCTCCAGTCTGCCAACAATTTTTCATCTCATACCATCATCCATACATTTGTGGCTACTCATTTTAACTGAAACCTTTTAAAATTTATTCAATGCTTCTGACAAACACAGAAAATATCATGAAGGACTATGAGCACACAAATCAGCAAAAACCCCTCATGTGCTTATATCCCTTCCATAATCACAGCTCAGCAGATATACATGTGTACACCTAAGTTTTCGACTCTGAATATCTTTATAATTCTTCAATAGCATAATTAGTACCTTTGATCTGATACTTTTTGTAAAAACAGACATAATTTTCAAATTCTCTTAATTCTGCATATGAGTTTACTAATAAGAATAACAATTACATAATTCTGCATACGAATTTACTAATCAGAAAAATAACCACTACATATCAAAAGCACAAACCTAGTGCTACGTGTATACTTGGGTTGGCACACAAATAATTTTGGCGACACTGTGAGTTGAACAAATAATTTGGGGGGACTTGGTGTGTTGCCTCATCAATACGTTTTGTGACTTTTGGTGGTGGTGCAAGTAGACAGAAAGTACCATTTTTTGTTTTTTCATATTGCTTATATTTTGTATAATTCTGAAAAGTATCCATCCTTTTATTAGAATATTAAATAAATTTCCCACAGCCCTTTCTGAGACTGAATTAATATAAACTACATATGACAGGAGCAGTTAAAGAAATCTTTGATAATTAACTTGAGAGTTCTGAAAAGTACAACAATTTTCAATACATAAACTACTCAATTAAAAACAATACATTACAGCAGTGCTTCTAAAAATTTTTTGATTCTCAGTGTCTTCGCTGAATCCAGATTTTTCAAATGCTCTCTCTGTCAAATTTTAACTAGTATTCTTTACAAAATAGTCGATTATTTCTGCATAGTTTAGGTAACAATAAATAAAACAATAAATAAAATTTTCTGAGCTATAGCACGTAGGACTGAATATCAATCTTTTACTGATAATCAAAATTCAATTAATTCCAAGCTGCTAAATTTGTTTTAACGCATTATCACAAGACAGTGATTTTTTGTTTCTTTTCCTTATTTTCATTTATTTATTTATTTGGCAGCAGCAAATTCAAATGAAGCAGTGGGATGAGAATCCAAGTAAATATATCAATATTATAAATTTGAAAATATTCCTCTGCTCTGTTGGACCAGTCAACAGCAGCACCTTTCGTGTTTTTAATTCAGATGGCATTTACTTTCTTTAGTGATTTTGCTTATAAACTTAAATGTGTCAATCAATCACTGCCATTTAGCTTTCATGCATCAAGAAATCAAGCTAATGTGTGGTAATATGGTGGAAAAAGTTTATTCTCATAATTATACTGAATTGAAAACTGGAATAAAATTATGAACACCATATATTTTGCAATGTTCCAGTGAGTAAGTTGTGACTGCTGAGGACACCTTGGCATACACTTTGGTAACCACTGCATTACAAAGCTCAAGTACATAAACAAATAATTTATTTGTTAAATTAATCAAATACCTTACTTTTACATTGATAATTTGAAAACATTTTCATAAATGG